TCAGCAGTGGCCTTCCGGACGACGCCGAGATAGGCCATCAAGATGGTCGCTTCTGAAGTGCAGTCGAAACAGCAGCACTTGTAAAACTCTATGAAATCATGTTTGTATCTGGCAATCCGCCTGTGCGTGTTGAAATAAAACATCTGCCGCTCGAACCTCCTGTTGTCGTAGGTCGCAGTGCCCGTGCCGCCTCCCAGACCTTCCACTGCGCCGTCCCCCTCGCCCTGCCCGCGAGTCTCCACGAACAGGCGGCACTCCGTGGTGGTGGGGCCGCCCCACACTGGCAGGTGGATGTCGCCACTCAGGTAAGTCGTCGTGCCATCGTCCCAAGGCAATCGAAACTTGAAGCTCGAGGCCACCGGCCGCATGAGACGATGCCACGACTGCTGCCGTTCCATGTCGCCCTGGACATACTGCTGGGAGGGGTAGAGAACCGAAGCCAGCGCCGAGCTGGCCGCTGGCGGCGGCCCCTCTGGCTCGACGCTGCGAGGGTTGCTCGCGCGCTTCCCCGCCCTGCTGCCGGCGCCCTGAATGCCGACGTCGTGGTCGTCGCTGGTCCTCACGTCTGAGATGAACAGCACTCCAGCACACTGGGAGAATTCCTTGGCCATCTCGTCTGTGAAGAACCCTTCGCGAATCTCAATCCTTGGCTCCTCCGTCCCTTCTACCAGCAGGCGTCCCTGCGCTTTCACGAGATGGCTCGAGAATGGGCGCGGGTCGACCAGGACAAACTTGAGTTTCGGGAACAGGTCTGCCAAGCACACCATGTGTGTCCCTGGAGCTGCCCCTGCGTAGACGACGGTGCGGGCCTCGTCATAGTACTTGGTCAGGAACTCCACCTCGGCCAGCATCAGCTTGCGCTGGCCCCAGTGGCACACCGTCTTCGCTTCCGCCTCTCGAGCCCTGTATTCCCGCTCCTGTCGGCGGCGAGCGAGGGGGGAAGTGAGAAGGGGCGGGCCTTCTCAGAAGGCTCGGAGGTCCTCTGGCCTTCTGAAGACGTTTTCAAAGCTGTCCCCGAAGACGCAGAAAACCTCCCAGAAGGCCCGAGGGCTTCTGAGAAGTCCCGCCGCCTTCTGAAAAGGCCTTCTCCTGAATAAATACACAATATGAATACTACTCTCCTCTCGCCCCTGATGACGTCCAGAAGATACCCGGCCCGCCTCCGCGTACTCTTCATTGAATCGTTTATTCAATCCGCCGGCCCATGATTGCGTGCCGTTGTCGACTGACCGAGTGGTCTTTCGCGGTGCGGAGCTGCAGGGGCGGCGGCTGTTTTTATCTCGTGGGGACTCGTAAACGCGTCGGGTCGTTGGCACTTGCTTGCGTGCTCGGGGGGGCATTTGGGGGGCTCCTGGGGCCGCTTGGGGGCCTCTTGGAGGCCTCCTGATGGCCTGTTGGGGGCCTCTTGGGGCCTCTTTAAGGGCCTCTCGGGGATTCCGGGGGGCTTCTTAGGGCCGAGGGCTCGAAATGTTGTTTCGTGTTCCCCCCAAGGGACCTCTCTTGGGGCGTTCTTGGGGCCTTCTTGAGCCGTCTTGGAGGCCTCTTGGGCCGTCTTGGAGCCCTCTTGGGCCGTTTGGGGCCCTCTTGGGGGCCTCTTGTGCCCTCTTGGGGCAGTCTTGGGGGCCTCTTGGGCCGTCTTGGAGTGTTGGGACGCCGAAAAGGTGGAAACGCCAAAATCTCTCCAAAACCTTAGGAAAAAAACAATGAATTGTGCCTCTTGGGGCCCTCCTGGGGCCGCTTGGGGGCCTCTTGGGGCCCTCTGAGGGCCTGTTGGGGGCGTCTTGGGGTCTCTTTGGGGCCTCTTGGGGACTCCTGGGGTCTTCTTAGGGCCGAGAGCTCGGAATGTTGATTCGTGTTCCCCCCTGGGACCTCTCTCTCTTGGGGCGTTCCTGGGGCCTTCTTGAGCCGTCTTGGAGGCCTCTTGGGCCATTTCGGGGCCCTATTGGGACATCTTGGAGCCCTCTTGGGGGCCTCTTGGGCCCTCTTAGGGCGGTCTTGGGACCTTTTGGGCCGTCTAGTTGTTTCGGGAAGCCGAAAAGGTGGAAACGCCAAAATCTCTCCAAAACCTCAGGAAAAAGCAATGAATTGTGCCTCTTGGGGCCCTCCTGGGGCCGCTTGGGGGCCTTTGGGGGGCCTCCTAGGGCCGCTTGGGGGCCTCTTGGGGGCCTCCTGGGGGCCTGTTGGGGTCGTCTTGGGGTCTCTTATGGGCCTCTTGGGGACTTCTGGGGCACACAGAGTTCCCGGTAACTGCGTTGTCGCTTGGGTTTTTTTCAACATGTTGCTCCCGCTGAAGCGCTGGCCCCATTTCAGCGCCCCTGGTTGTTCCAAATCATGCTCCCGCTCCAGCACGGGCGTTTCGGGTCCTTCCAGATAGGCCCCAAAATCTAAAGAATACCACCCAGAAAAAACAATTGGAAGTGATTACACATTCGGCGTCGATTCGTTTTTTGCGCCGCAGAAAGCCCCACTTTGTGGCGTCGTCGCTTTCAGGAAGTATCAAGCAGGAGCCCGTTTCTGCTTTGAGAAGGCGATGTTGAAAGCAGAGCCAGCGTTTTCCCATCTATCAGCCCCGCCTTGTGTGGAGCTTTTCGGGGAGCCCAAGGAGCTAGACATGGAGCCACGACTCCAGACCGGCCCAGACATCTCGAAGACGATCCACTTACCCTCCAAGGAACCCGGCGCCATGCCATGACATGCTGTGCGGTGTCGTGCTATGCGCCGCTGTGCGATGCCATGGTTTGCGTTGCAATGCTTTGTGATGCAATGTTTCACTGCAAAATGCCACGCCATGCTATGGCACGCTGCGCTCTGCCGTGCTCTTCTACGCCATGCAATGCTCGCCTCCCCGCTCGCGATCATTGCCCTGCTCGACAGCCGACTGTGCGAATAGAGAGGATATCTACGCCATGGTAAGGGATGGGAGGCAGGGGTAGACCGTCAGAGATGGCGCGAGCGCACCTGGCTTGTCATTACCCCCCTCGCTCGCCGCCGATCCTGAGCCGTGGCGTGGTCCAGTATGCGCGAAAATGGCACGTCGTCCGCGATGGTGTAGCCGGGCTGTCGCCCTTGCTCGCAGTGTCTGTCTCGGACAGCGGCGCCGGAGAGCACGGGCGCGCTGCTCATGTCCCCCACAAATCCCGAGTGGGTCTCGCCCACCGCCCGAGTCGGCCTGGGTGTCGCCACATTTGTTGCGCCTGCGACTCGCGATTGAGCCAAGATGGCCAACTGCGGAGGCCAGCTTGGGACTCTCGTGGGCCATATCGTGGGCCTCCAGGGCCGTCGTGGGCGCCTCTGGGGCGCCTTCGTGGGCTCTTGGGGTCACCTTGGGACACTATTGGGGCTCTCTTAAGCCTTCTTGAGGGGTGCGCCAGGGCAGTCGCTGACCACTCCGAAGGCTATCTAGGGTCACTATGGCAACTTCTTGGGGGCGTCCAGTGCCGAGGTTATCCATGCAGCTTCTAACAGGAACAGCATTGTCCTTGTCACATCACCCTCATCATCAGTATCATCATTACCACCATCATCATCATCGTCATCAGCACCATCCTTATCCTTAGCGCTCTTTTGTCTGCCAGCAACTGCAAGAGACTGAGCACACGCAGGATCCTGCCGTCGGGGCCGCCGACAGGCACAGGCACGCTCAAGGCACGAGGGGCGAATTCGCCCCTCAGAACAAAATCACATGTGACAAGAAAGAGCGGTGGAGGAGAGGAGGAGGCGGAAGACTTGACCGACATCAAACGGCGGCGGACCCAAAAGAACGTCGAAAACCCGTAAAATCACGATACCCCTTAGCGCTCTTTTGTCTGCCAGCAGCTGCAAGAGACGGAGCACACGCAGGATCCTGCCGTCGAGGCCGCCGCCAGGCACAGGCACGCTCAAGTCACGAGGGCGAATTCACCCCTCAAAACAAAATCAACAGACATACTCCCGATTTTGCTGAGCAAACTGGAAACGCCGAAAACAGGTGACCCACTAACCCAAAGCTTTCTGAATCACTTCGGCGGGGGCTCTGACTTCGGCATTGTGAAAGACACGTGCAAGGGCGACGCAAAACTTTCGTGGATACTCGGCACCGTGTTTGGTTTTAACATCGCCCCAAGGCAAGAAACCCTAGAGCTGCTGGCGGGGCCGATTCGTACGTGAACAGGTCCTTCGCCTGGAGCCTGAATCCGCGGAATCGCGCCATCGTTCCGAGATCGAACTGGGCCTTGCAGGGCCTACATCCTCGATGATATGTTCACCTCAGGGCGCTAGAGCCAAAACGGTTGCGGATGCATCAACCGATCATACATAAAACCGTGTGAAACCAGATAGAAACTCCCGAGTCGTTTCCCTAGAAACGTACTCGTAACATACGGCATACGGATTCGGGGAGGTATGTTTCTGTGCTGCACTCCTCCTCGGCCGCTGGGCTTAGCCTGGGGCTCATCTTACTGAACAGAAGCCGTCCTGAGAAACTCTAGCACAAAGAAGATCTGGCACCTGTGCCCGCGCGGCCCTGCCCGTGTCCGCGTGAATCTTCGCCATCGAGACCGTCTCGTCCCTGACCTTCTTCTGCACCCAGAACTACTTCGCCTGCAGGTGGCGTACCCGTTCCGCTTCCCAAGCGTGATGCGATGCCCTTGGCCCCCGAGCTGTCAGTGTTCACCTGCAGGGTCATCTCGAACCCCATCTCCAGCATCACGTTCCTCGACCAGATGCCTCTCGCCGAGCCGTTCACGACCCCTGTGACCTCCGCCTCCGCGCTGCTCAGCGCGCGATTGCCCTGTTGGCCACTCCAGCCTTCGATCATGTGCGAGCCGATGAACAGAAACCCCCCGTCCACGGACCTCCGACCACGCTCGGACGCCCAGTCGCTGTCGACTTCCGCCGCGATCACCATGGGCATCCTCTGGAACTCGAAGAAGAGCTCGAACTGCGGGTGCTGCTCCAGGTAGCTCGCCAGCCGCTGCAGTAGTAGCCCATGGTGCCAGGTGGGTGCTACCATGCCCCTCATGACGTATGCCCACGGCTTGCTGGATGTCCAATCGGCCATGAACCACGCACAGGGCGGCGGGTGCCATGCCGCGGTCGGTGGTCGCGTACTCCGTGCTGAGCTCGTCCGGCGACTCCCTGCAATCCTTCCCAATGGTCTTGGAGGCGGGGGTGATCGACCGCTTCGTGCTGCTGCTAACACCGACCTTCCTGTTGAGTATGGTGCTGACCAGAACCTTCACGCGCTTGCGGTCGTGCTGGATGCGGAACCCTTCGGGGCGCAACGTCACCGTCCGCTTGAGGAAGCTCCCTGACTCGACTCCCCCTTGCCTAGGGCTACCTCCCCTCGGCATCACATTGACCTCGAGGTGTCCCCTCACCGACTCGTCGAGCCAGTCCAGAGATTCCTTCCACTCCTCCAGCCAGGAAGCCATCCCCATGCACGATCACCATCAGCAGCCCCCCCTTGTGGTAGTACACCTGCACCGTCACCTTGATGCGCGTGGATCCGCCCTTGTCCATGACCTCCACGATCAGGTTCTAGAACAGGAACGGTGCGCGTCTCGTGCCGTAGGGAGCGCGCATCAGCTGGTAAACGATGCCTTATGGTTCCTCTACGCGGGGTGGGACCACGTGGATGTCATCATAAATATACGCGTGAAAGATAGCCACCGACACGTCGTAGAGCGCGATCATGCCGTCGTCGCCAATCCCCGCGAAGCAGAGGCTCGAGACGACGGAGACCACCAGCCTGAACGCGGCCAGTGGTGGAGTGCCTGCGAAGGTGTCGTCGCGCACGTCCCAGGCGAACTGCGTGGCCACGAAACGCGATCTGACCGACTCCTTGCCGTCCTCGTCGAAGCGCTCGTCGTCGGCTCACTTCCGTCGGACGCGCTTGCCCTTCGCCAGATTCTTGGGCGCTCGATCGAAGACCTGAAAGTCCTCCATCTGCATGCGCCCCTTCTCCCTGCCTCGCTTCACCTGCGCGGGGCCCAGCCTCTTCCCTGAACTCGCCCCGCCTCGCGGTCGTAGAGGCCTTGCTTGGCGATGTCCGTCACGTCGTCGCGGGGGACGGCGTCGCGCGTCAGCGCGAGAGCTGCAGTCGCCATGTTCACGGACAGACCTGCGATAACCTTCTGCTTCGGCCCCCGCTTCGCCTCCGCCAGGGCGCCCTTGAAATCCATCTCGGACACGCCGGGCCCCATGCCGTCCTGCTGCGGCATCTTCACGGCATCCTCCTGCATGTGGGGTCCTACGGTGCGTCCGCCTCCAGCCGCTGTCTGCGGGGTCGCCCCCCTTGGTCGGCCCCGGTAGCAGATTGTGGGCCCTGTGCCACGGCTGGAGGTTGGTTGAGCAGGTTGCCCCCCTCCTGGGGGCGCGGCAGCAGCTGCGGGCCCGGCCGCTCGAACTGCTACCTCGTTTGTCAATATCCTCCTCGGCTTTCATCAAGTCAAGCCCTCGACGCGCTCTCGGCAAGCTTCAGTGCGTGGATGGCCGAGTCCGCGGCAGCCGTCACATCCAGGTGTAGGTCCCACTCGATCAATGATCACCTCGTGATATAGCGACGGCGCGGTGGAGGCGGCGCTGCCTCTGGCCCCGCGCAAGCGCCCCACGGCGTGCACTCGACCTTGTTGAACAAGTTCTTGGACCAGCGCTGATCCTCCACGCGCCCACTGACGGTCCTCGCCGTCTTCCTGCCAGCAGCGGTCGTCAAGAGGTGCTCCTCCGCGCGGTTGTCCTTCCCGACCCAGATGGCTTTGCCCCATCGGTTCTCAGCCTTGTGGTGGGATATGTTCTGGATATTGCACATCACCGTCTCCCCGAACTCGCAGACAGCTCCTCCGTAGGCGCGATCCTTCAAATGCTGGTAGGGGGCGAGGCCATCCTCCGCGACAGGATCCAGCCCGAGCGTTGAATCATCCAGCCCATGATCCAATGGTTCAGCGTGAGCTGGGCGCTGCACCGAGACTCAATCGATGCCCTCAAAGTGCGGAACATGCCCTCGACCATCTTGTTGGCGTTCTGGATAGCTCCCTTACTCTTGGGGTCTCGCCTGGGCCCACTGCGGGGAACGCCCCCCTCGCCTCGAGCCAGCGGCACCCTGGACGGCGGGCTCGCCATCGGCACCGAGAAGAACACGGTCGAGGTCCCACATGCGCATCGCCGCTGTCGTCACTGCCACGGCATAGTCAGCAGGGCCCTTCGTTGTCATCTGCGCGCTCTCGATGGCTCTCGATCGCTCTCGATTTTCAGCACTGTGAGCGGGTCGCCCTCGACGTCTCCCAGGAACAGGTAGTCGACGCAGACAAGCGGGATCAGGCGGCCGGGGTCAGCCAAGCGCTTGCGCGGGTCTGGTCACGGCCCACGATGCAGAATAGGCACCAAGTGCGGGGGGGGCCAGTGAGTGAGCCGATGCTGTTTTCGGATTGCTCGGTCTGGCATCAATGTGATCCCTCTCGCCCATGCCGCTGCTGCCTCTCCAGAGACTCGCATTAGCGCTCCGTCCTCACGTGGCCGTCGCAATCCTTCACGCTGATCACCGTCTTGGTCAGGTTGACCCTGGGCGTCCCCAGCAGCAGGTGGCGCGGGTGGAGGTGGCATCGGCCCTGGCGCTGCGGGGTCTGCTCCAGGTTATGCGTCTTCTTCGTTAGCAGGTGCCTCGTGAGGTATGGCTCGTGCCTCAGTGTTCGGCTGAATTGGGTTGACGAGGATGGGCTCGGCGACTTTCTCGGCGGGCCTCCTGGTCCTGAGCCAGAACGTCTTCCCGCCCCTGCACGGCCTGATATTGCGGCCGTCCGTCAGCAGGATGTAAGGCCCCTTGCCGAGGATCGAAATGCGGCCGCCCTCGGTAAAGGTGTCCGCGCCCACGATGGCCCGCTTCACGTTCGGCACCTGGAACTCAATATGCAGAGGCACCCCCTCGCTCTCGGCCGCGACGATCCTCGTGCCCATGGACTTGACCGCGTCGCCTGTCGTCGACACACAACGAAGTAATATCTTGGGCGGCAGCATCTCGGTCGCGTCCGCGAACTCCTGGGGGCAGGTGATGAGCCCTGAGCCCGCGTCGAAGAGCGCCCAGTCGAACTCCACCGCGTCGCCGACCGCAACTGGCAGCGCGTCGCACTGCGTCCTGTCATAGAGCATGCCGACCTGCCAGTGGTACTCCTCGAGCGTTGGGATGTCGGCACGGCCGGCCATGTTGATGTTCGCGATGTGGACGGTTGAGCTCGCACAGGCCAAGCCCCGCTGCTGCTGCAGCTGCATTTGCGCCAGCACCGCCGCCACGCGCGAGACATCTACGGCCGGGGCCAGACTGGCCTGCGAGCCAGCGCCGTTGCCCTGCAGCGCTGAAGCCGCAGTTGCCGCCGAAGACTGTCCTTTGGGGCTCTCCGCCAGCGAGGCAACCTCCCTGACCCTCTTCTCGTCGGCCTTCTTCTCGCGGTAGTCCGCCGCGAGATGGCCCGCCTTCCCACAGTAATGGCAGTTGCGGGTCTCTCGGCCCTTGTCCTTCGCGTCGCCCTTCTTGCCCATGGAGTCGCCCTTGGATTTGCCCTTGCTGTCCTTGCCCTTGCCGTTGCCTCTGCGGCCCCCTTTGCCCCTGCCAATCGCGTCGACCTGCATGGGAACCACTCCGTCGCCACCAGCGCCCGTCGCTGCCCGTCGTCGCTGCGCTGCGCAGATCGTCTTCAGCTCCTGCTCCAGCTCCTCGTAGATTCCTAGGCGCGACGCATTCAGACTGAGGTGGTCTGCCAGCTTCTCGCTCTTGTTGCCCGACATGATCACCCCGCGCTTCATGTTGTCTGAGATCACGTCACCACGCTGGTCGGCGCACTCCCGCGCCAGCTGCTCAAACTCCGCCACGTTCGTCATCACGGGGTCAGCGAACTCGCACCGAACGGCGCGGCCCACCATAGCCGCGAAGCGGTTCGCCTCCTTCGGCGCGAACTCCCTGAGCAGGTGCCACCACGCCGAGAGCCCGTCGCCTCGCGGAGCCTCTCTGACCTCGACCTTGGCCACATCTGAGGTCACCGAGACCGGAATGTAGCACAGCTGAGTGTCCAGCGTGGCGCCCACCTTACTCTGCGCCGTCAGTACGCCGGCTGTCCTCGATGCCTGGTTGAGTAGATCCCCCAGTCGGGGTTGGACCGCAAACACGTAGGCCTCGAAGTCGAACGACCACGTCTTCCACTCTGAGTGCAGGCCCGTGAACGTGCGCGGCTTGTTCAGCCGTCTAGCGTCGACCATCTGGCCTCCGCCGAGACCTGCCGCTGCTGCTCCAGGGCCCCGCTCTCCTGCTCGCTGCTCGCCCATGGACAGCTGCTGCTCAGCTGCGTCAAGCCTGAGCCTCACGTTCTCATTATCTGCGAGCACCTCGCGGCGTCGCGTCACCTCGCCCTCCACGAGCCGCACGCGCTCTGCGAGGGCCTCCATCGCCGCGGCGCCCGCCGCGGCCGCGTGACCGAGGATCGCCAGACAAGGGAAGGTGATCCGTCCCTGGCCACGCTCCGCTACCATCCGCGGAATCGCGCTAGCGTGCCGAGATCGAACAGGGCCCCGCAGGGCCTACATCCTCGACGACATTTTCACCTCGGGGCGCTAGAGCCAGAACGGTTGCGGATGCATCGAATGATCAAATATAAACCCGCGTGAAGCCCGATATAAACTCCATAGTCGCATTCCTAGAAATGCACTCGACTCAAGCGGCATACGGATTAGGGGGAGTGTTTCTGTGCTGCACTAAACAACGAGAGGCCCGAAACGGTCCTGGGTCGAGGTCTCCAAAAATGAGCCCAGTGTCTTTCTTCCAGGGCGCCCCCCACTGACACGCGGAAGTGATATGGCAGGCCGCGACGCGGCGCCCCAGGGTTCTCGAAACTCCGACGGATTCGCAGAGGCAAAATGATACACGCAAGCGCGGCCGCGAAATTATTCAGAGCATTAGACACGCCAACAATCGCTTGCAAATGAGGCCTGAGGTCGGGCAGGCCAAGAAGGTGGAGGTCGGAGCGCACGGGAGGGGCGC